AAAAAAGTCTATTTTGTCATCATTTACTCACCCTCATGTCATTTCAAACCTGTGAAACAGGTTATTTTGAAAAAAATTTATTGTAACGATTTGAGGGTGAGTTAATTATGATAAAATTATTGGTTTTAAATTATGAGTATAAATGTAATTTTTTGGGTGAGTTAAAAAATCAGAACAATCTGAGTCCTTCTCATACTGTCTATATAACAGTGATAACAATAATATAGTTGTGTAAATAACGTTAATTTTGTTTAATCACTCTAATGAGTGTATGTTGTTTATCTCATTCACTCAGATGACCCGCAGAAAAGTCCAATCTGTTATTTCTCACCCTCCTCCAGAACAGACCTCTGTAACGCTTCTGGTGTTTAGGTAAAACTCTAGCAGTCAAAATCTATTACATTTCTCAGAGAAGAGGAACAAAAATATATATTGTAAGTAGATTTTTTAATTTGTATTACATTTTGATGTTGCCAGTGTTGCCAAGGAGCTGCTATGTGTTACTAAGGTTACTTTTTATGCATTCCAAAGCTGTTGCTAGGGTGTTCTGAGTGGCATTGCAGATGGTTGCTAGGGTATTCTGGATTGTTGCATATTAGCAAAAACACCCATCCACAATATATATATTCAACGAAATTAATATAAAGGTTTTTGTCACTGTCCTATAAACAAAGGCAAAATGTAAAAAAAAATAATAAAAAAAAATCAGTTTTTATAGTTTGCACTCATATTTATTTAGTATTATTTTATAAGGGATAAATATAATTATTACTTATTATTATTACTATTTATCCCTTATTGATAGAGTTCCATATTATTATATATACACACACACACACACACACACACACAGTTTATATAGGAACTATATTTTAATTAAATGTATTACCATTTTTTAAACGTAAATTTAAAAAATAAAGGGATCCCAAAAAAGTTCACCCAAAAATGTAAATTCTAACTTCATTTACTCTCATGTCATTACCCTCGTGTCGTTTAAAACCTTTCTGATTTTTTTTATTTTGTCAAAGAAAGATATTTTGAGAGAAGTCTCAGTCTCAAAGTCTAAAAAAAAAAGCGACTTTATTTAACAATTCGTCTCCTCGAATAAAGTCTTTTTTAAAGGTTTTTTTTTTCTTTTGCGCACAAAAAGTATTCTCATAGCTTCGTATAATTGCGGATGAAACACTGATGTCACATGGATTATTTTAACGATGTCCTTGCTACGTCTCTGGACTTGAGAACATTTCAGTTGCATTGCTGTCTATGCAGGGTCAGACAGCTCTCAGATTCCATCAAAAATATCTTAATTTGTGTTCCGAAGATGAACGAAGGTCTTACGGGTTTGAAACGACATGAGGGTGAGTAATTAATGACAGGATTTTCATTTTTGGGTGAACTAACCATTTAAGAACGAACAGTGCAACCAAATTAAGCACACATTTAGGTACAAATTAACCAGTAGTTACTAAGCCCCTGCTGTGAACTTCATGTCCCAGTTTAAGAAAGTCCTTAGGAATGGCTGGTGTAATCCCATCCAGATGTGGTAAAACAGCATGAAAAGCAAGTTAAAGATTGGCCCAGAGGAAATGAGTGTAGTATATTTAGCACAGATCTAGATACAGTAAACTGGCAATCCCTCATGGTTAATAAGCTCTCAGGAGATCCTGGATTTGTGCTGAAGTTTCAAGAGTTGCAAGCACAGCCCGCACTGAAATTTCTGTTGGCGACAGCCAGGGTATCCATCAACGTGACCCGTTCCACAAGGCTTCGTATCTCCCTGACCATCCTAGAGTAAGCAGTATCTCACCATGTTACATATTCTGTTTGGGCTTGCGTATTGGTCTCCAGAAGCACATCCAATCCGTCTCACAAGATCAGATCACAGAGCGAGATTCCTTTGAATTGGAGTGAGTGACAGGCAGTCCGGCTGTGATGCTCTGTTCCCGCATGCCATTGGCCTTTAAGTGTGGCTTGCGTGAATGCCATCTCTGAGTCGGGCCTGTCTGACGGAGTCTCAGGCCATCAATCACCAGCACCAGATCAACCAACTGATGTCTGGGGTAACATATTGGTTAAAGTTGAACTGATGTGCTATGCTATGTTGTGCTATCGGACAATGGATTGACTGAGAGATGCAATTCCACTTCAAAAATTAATTTCTGTCTGATGAGGTACACTGTTCGAACAAATATGTAGTCATGTTTTACCTCATTGGTCAAGCCAGTGTTTACACTATAAGCAAAAATATATAATTTGTGTAACAAATTTTAATATTAAAATTAGAAAAATATGTTTTCTTAAAGCAATTAATACATTTATTCAGCATTTAGTTGATCAAAAGTGTCAGCAAAACATTTTCATTGTTTCAAAAGATTTCTAAATCAAATGAATGTTTGAAACTTATCATTCATCAAAGAATCCTGAAAAAAATGTATCACAGTTTCCACAAAAAATATTAATAAGCACAACAAACATTTCTTGAGAACTGTAGAAATATTAAGAATTATGTGACACACACACACACACACACACACACACACACACACACACACACACACACACACACACACACACACACACACACACATATATATATTCCTCGCTCTGTGATCTGATCTTGTGAGACCTCACTTTTAAAGCCCAGAATAACAGAATACTAAATTATACTGCTGTGAAATGCTTTGTAAAGAGCTGCACAATTCATGAAGATGCTGGTGTAAAGCTGTACATTACGAACCATGTACCACTTGCACACTGACAAAATGTGCAACTGTTCATTGCACACAATCAGCTCTAGGCTATCCGGGGGGATTTGTTTACCTTGCACCTCCTTGTCGTTTCTGAACCATCGGATGTCAGCAGCCGGTTTGCTGCCAGATGTGGTGCATGTCAGTGTGACGTCCTCCCCCTCCTGGGCAGGTCTCGAGAGGCCTGTGATTTCTGGTTTCGCTGGAACACCTGATATACAAACAGAGGAGGAGGATTACAGGCAGCACTGATGGAAACACGCGTGATTCTACGATTTCAGTCATAGATGGGCTCAGCCCCCCACCTGCACATGATGTGGCTCAGAGGAATATTACTTTCCTGAAGCTCAAATGTTGCTTGACTGACATTTTTTTTAATAGAAAACATGTTTGTCAGTTTATATATAAGTTTGTCAATATATATATATATATATATATATATATATATATATATCAATACAGTGACAAATTCTGCTCTATGGTATTTTGTGATTTTCCTGGAAAAGGAAGCATTTGTTGAGTGATTGAGATGGAGAATGCAAATGAGTTTTGGTTTCTAAGTCTTTTCTACATCAAACCAAACCAAAAAAAATGTGTTATAATGAACAAATTAGAACATTAACTTAAAGCCTGGAATACACTACACAATTTTTGCCCTGATTTCCCACCAATTTACAGTCTGGAGAAGTTGAAAGTCGAAAGCCAGTCTGCAGATTTGAGTTGACAGATTTCATAGAAAATCGCGTAGTGTATGATGCTCATAGACACCAATGTTTTAGCTTCAGAGTATGTTTCCATCCAGTCGGAGGACATCATGTTCAGAGGATAAACATGTTTGATATTTTCAGTCGATTTTTGAACACATTGTTTTCATTTGTAATGCGTCTCCTAGCAACAAGGTGCACATTTCTGCTTGAGTTTGTTGTGATCAGAATAACTTGAAAGTCTGGTAGTGTGTGATCCTCAGTTGTGTAGTGTATGATAGCCAGTTTTCCTTTGTCACTATTTACAAAGTCGGTAAGTGTATGATGCCTACTGTTCATATTTTAAAAGTCGTCTAGTGTTTTCAAGCCTTAACATTTTTACATGTTTACATGTAAAACATGTAACATAGACTAGTGTGAAAAAAATGGCTTATTAATCTTGTCTGTATAATGTCATACATCCAGTTACAATGTAAAGATGCTAAAGTCTAACATTTTCAAAGAATTGATAACGGACTGTTTACACAGAAAACAAAATCCACCCACAGGTTTTAAATCTATAACAAACAAACAAACAAACACACAAACAACAAAAACTATTTTCTGTGAATGTACTTAACAATATGTATTGTATAAAAAAACTTTATATAAACACAAAGTAGTCCTACCACTGTTGGATGATTTAAAACAAAAATTATGATTTAAAAAACAAACAAACAACAACAACATAAAATGATTTTAAAACAAAAAGAAAATTAAACAAATACAGAAAAACTATTGTCTGTAAAGTTGTGTATAAAAATAAGGTAAAAGTAGTTCCACCACTGTTGGAGGATCAAAACAACACAAAACAACAACAACAACAATTGTTTGTAAAGGTACTTGTAAACTATATGTATTGTATAAAAAACCCGTATATAAATATAAAGTAAAATTTGTCACACCACTGTTGGATGATGTAAACACACACACACACACACACACACACGGAAAAAAAAACATTGTTTGTTAAGCTATCTATTAAACAAGATAAAAAAGGCAGAAGCAGTCCCACTACAAAAACAAAGCTAAGCAAATGTAAACAAATTGAAAAGTTAAATGTTTGTAAATGTACTTGTAAACAATATATATTGTGAAAAGCTGTATTTAAAAATAAGGTAAAAGTAGTCCCATCACTGTTGGATGATCAAAGCAAAGCAAAACAAATACAACTAAAAAACAACTATTAAACAACAGGTACTGTGAAAAGTGGTTTATAAACATACAGTGTACAGAGTGAGCATTGCAGAGTCTAGCACAAGCTGATCATAAACCAAAGCACACAGTGACACATCTAATGGCTCCATCAGCCAGTGTGAAATTCTCTCATTGACATCACTCCCTGTGCCACCAAAGTGCAAAAACAAAATCATATGATGGGAGAGAACTCACTGACCCCAGATCAGTGAAGAGCATGTTGACCTTAAAGGCACAGATTGATGAGGATGAGAGGGAGACTGATCTATGAGAGGTCTTACCTAACACAATCAGGAAGGCCTTGGATGTCTTGACAGGCATGGTGAAGAGTGAGCATGTATACTGTCCTTCATCTGACAGAGTAATGTCACTGATGCTGATGGTCAACTCCTTCCAAGAGGCTCGAACCAGCTCAATCCGGTTGTCCCTTAATGCTAAGACATAAAACATATGATTAGTGATCAATAACTAATCAGTAAGCTAAAAAGGACTTTTGGAGAAACAGCCAACAGTCACGTTGCCTGAAAATGTGTTTTTGTGGTACAATGGTAAAGTGATGGTATCAGATGTTAATATCACAGCATGTCTAATTCCGGACACAAGTAAAGCAAAAAAGTAAAGGAATTTTATTTTTATCTGTTTAAATACATACAGGGTTAGGCATACACAAATAATATCTCAAATGAAAAAGTAATGAAAGAAATAACAATCTTGAGGCAATGAGCAACTCATAAAAATGGACAAAAGGATTCTACTGTATGCCTTTAGATAAAATATAAATCCTGCTCCTGGGAAGATATGGCCAAATAAACTAAAAGACAAAGAAAGACACCCTCTTGCTCAAACAAGCATTATACAATAAATACAGGATGCCAGTGTGGGTTTATTTTTCAAAGTCAATAAGCAGGCATTAAATATCAAATAATATAAAAAAGTGTGCATGCTTTTGCATATACTAAAGTTCATGTGCTGAAGTTCTTAAACAGCATTGTTTTAAAGCACTATGTTGGTGGAACCATTCATATAATTTTTTTAATGTAATGCAATTCATTACATGTCTGTCACACTATCACCATTGTTTATTCACCATGGTGTCAAATGGCATTTGTTTGTACTTCAAACAATATCACCCTGCAACTCTTGCTGGCTTCCCCACTGAAGCTAAGCAGGCTGGAGTTTGGTCAATATCTGGATGGGAGACCTTGTGAAGATAAGGCTGCTGCTGGAGGACATAGTGAGGCCAGCAGGGGCGCCCACACTGTGTGCCCCAATATGATGTGGACACTATGTAGTAAAAGACAGCATCCTTTGGATTAAAAGGTAAATCTATGTCCTGATACTCTGAGGTCTTTGATCTTCTAGGGTGTCTTTTGAAAATAACCTCAGAACCCTGACCAGATTTGTCCACTGGCCTCTATCAAACACACACATTCTTGAGAAAAGCACAAAATTTTACAAATTATTAATGTCATGGTCCATTATTGTTAGTGAACCACAGTGTCTTTTTGTAAACAAATATCTTGGAGGTAAAGCTTAGTACTTATGTTCGCTTACTAATTCATGACATTATGTATTATTCATAGTTTAGTCCCACAGTAGTGAAAAACATGTTTTTGAATCTTCCACTGTTCTGAATAACCACTGCGACTGACTGTCACCGTCACACTGAAGCCATTTGTTGTCTCTAACTGGAGTTTTAACATTTTCTACCTGTCTGCCACAAGCAGCCATTCATCCATTATGTTTGCAATTTCCAAGAAGAGTTTGCACCAGCTGAGAGATTGATGAACAGAAAGGTCACTTTATCCTCCTCACCCCACACCGTCTAAAAAAGCACAATTCACTTGTATTGTGTCATTGAAAAAAGCAAGAGAGAGTGGCTTTTCATTTAACATCTCACAGATGTTTTGCTTTAAAGTTGGCATGTATCAAAGTTGACACTGTTTATTTTGTTAATGCATTTCATATATACTGTATATATACAGTATATATAATTTTTAAGTCAGTTAAGCCAATTGCATACTTGGAAATATGTCAAAATACAGGAGAAAGGTCGTTTTTTTTAGACACTTTAACAAAATACATCATTCTATAGATTGTATAGGGTGTCCCAACATGGTTTTCTTTCAACATTTGACATTTGACATTCGCTTTTGGTCTCTGTAAACTGGGCAATTCCTCATAGACGTGTTCACTGTCCTTTTGGGAACATTGTTACCAGAGCCGATCCTCCCTATACACAAAATACGCAAGCTGCGTAGGGCCCCCGAAACACCAGGGGGCCCCCTTGCTCTCAAAGATGATTTAATTTTAGTTTTGTTTTTGAATTTGGACAGCGCTTATGAAAACATGAATGATCATTTCTTTTAATGCAGTGTGCTGTCACTCTTTCTATGTAAAAATCAGTCAAATCATGTAATGCGAATGTCGTACAGTTTTGCCCGAGACTAAAAAACGTGTTGAAAGCGTACCGAGCCGTGGAAGAGACACTGTTTCCCAAGCGCTTTCTGCGAGTGCGATTCGAGACGGAGTGAAACACGGACAAATGCGTTTCATTCATTCGTTCATAACACCTCATACCCCACTCCACTGCCCCAACCCTCTTTCGAAGCCTTTTAAATGTACATTAATGTTAAAAAAAGACAATGTGTCTCCAAACAATAAGATCTGACGCTATAAGACAACATCTTTCTAGAGGATGTGTCAAGACTGTTTAAATATTCCTTCTGAATTGTGTGCTGAGTTATGAACAGAGAATGAATAGAGGGTTTGTGGAGATGTCAAATGCGTTTCATTCATTCGTTCATAACACCTCATACCCCACTCCACTGCCCCAACCCTCTTTCGAAGCCTTTTAAATGTACATTAATGTTAAAAAAAGACAATGTGTCTCCAAACAAAAAGATCTGACGCTATAAGACAGCATCTTTCTAGAGGATGTGTCAAGACTGTTTAAATATTCCTTCTGAATTGTGTGCTGAGTTATGAACAGAGAATGAATAGAGGGTTTGTGGAGATGGCAAATGCCTAGGGGGGTTTTGGCATGGAGACATAGTGGAATTGGATAAAGGGAGGAAAGGTGATCAGGTCTGGACTCTCTCTACACATGGGCCTGCTGATAGAGTCCAACGAAACCCAGTGAGACAAGGACCATCAAAGCTTAGGAACAGATGACACATTTCCACCAGCCCATCCCTCTATCTTACTCAGACACAGAGGGAGGAATGGAAGAAAAGAGTGCGCTCCCTTGTTGTTTACAGAAAAGACAAACACATACACACTCATACGCCGAGCATCACAAAGGTGATGATAAGCTGCCAAGGCGAGGAACAGTCGCTGTTTGTACCACATCCGAGGGTTGATGGTACAATGCCTAGACTCTAAAACGCTTGGCGGTCTCCATTTTAGCCGTACAATGATAACATATAGGGATGTGGGCATTGAAAAGAACGAAAGAGAAGTCGTTCAGTTGTCAAATCTGTCTCTGCACTGGGGTCAAATCAAGAGGTGAATACTACTCTCAAAAAGAGCTTGATACAACAGTCTCGTGATGCGCTGGTTCATTTCACTTACACTGAGACTTTGTGCTACATCTTATTCTGACACAATGGTGTCAAGCTCGAAACATTATCCCAAATCCATTGCGAGAAACAAGTATACAAAAGTTTGAATAACCCTACAGACAGCTGTTATCAATGCAACGCAGGCCAACAGGGGCTGGCAAAACTCCGCATTCCACATTTCCAAAAAAAGAATCGAAAGCCTGCCAGATGCCCAGAGTTAGCTCCAATCTGTCACAACCTCCGTGAAATGCCAACGTCTGACAAAGCTCTTTTTCCAAGAGCTTAAAGAAGTCAACATGATGAAATGGTTGGTTTCCAACATCCTTCTGACTTCTTCAATGCAGTTTATTCCACTTAGAGAGCAGCATAAATCCCTCGGTTCGATTTTACGTCCTTCTCTGTCTTTTTTTAGGAAAGAAGGGAACTCTGCAAGGCTGACTTGTAGATGACCCGACAGACATCCTGGCATTCCCTTGAGCTGGAGCAATCTGACGACTGCCTGATGGTGTGGACCCCTGTTTAGCATGTTTAGGTGGTGCTTTTCTCTAATAGTGGCATTGATTTTATCTAAGACTTTATGGCTTACAAATAAAGCAGGCACACACTACAAGATAATGGGGCTAAATTTGGGCCATATTCTCCCCTTCCAACAATCCTAAGTAAAGTCATGATTATCTTGATGGTTCTACAGATTATCTTATCAGATTTTCCTGTGGTGTAGGGTGTGTTAAGAGTGATTGAATCAGCTTGGAAGAACACCGGGGCCACACCGATCTCAAATTGTGAATATCCAACATGTTGAATATTTATGATCGAAAATCCTGTTGTGTGGGGGGACCCCCGAGGACAAACAAACATGCACTCTGTAGATTGTCACATGGAACGAAGCCATTTCCAATCAGAAAGCGAGCTGACAGAAGACGGAAACATTACTAACATTACTCATCTCCAGCTCGTACTGTAATATGTAAAGTCCACGTCCACGCCATCATCCACACCTTTTTATTTTTCTGTGAATTTTTGGTAAAAAAGACATCTAAATACAATTATCGCCATTTCTGCTTGACTGCCATCCACCAGTTGTTTATGCTAAAGTCACATTAGACTGTGAGAGATTTTCGCGAGATTTCCCGTGTTCACCGTCTGGACTCTGGTTGTTTGTAAATGGAATCGGTTTGTGTGTGCTGTGCTGTCTTGGTCACATCGCGGCACTCCACACACTATAGGAACAAAACTTTCCAAATCGATGGTTTTTGATGTTATGTGTGTCTCAAATTCTCACATTTTGAAAATCTGATAAGATTTAGTGTGGGCCAGCCTTAAAACTTGGCAAGACGAATTATAGCCGAATTTAAGAAGACAGCAGTGGGGAACAATGGAGCAGATTGTGAATGGTATTTTCAAGGTTTTAAGTGCATGTGGATGCGGGTACGGTTGGACAATATTGTGTGTTGGTGTTGTAGCTCTTGGAAGGAAGAGAGCCGCCGACAAAATGTCTTCACACCTTACTTGTGAACAATCATTTGGCAGTGCACTTTGAGAGACTCCCAGCACTTTTCCACACGAGGCTCTGAAACCACATTCAACATCCAACTTTGGAGCCAAGCTTCTACTCTGACATAATCAGATCACTCAATCTGACGAGAAGACGGAAAATGGGCGGCATGAGCGACAGCGGCTCGATGGTTTTTGATGTTATGTGTGTCTCAAATTCTCACATTTTGAAAATCTGATAAGATTTAGTGTGGGCCAGCCTTAAAACTTGGCAAGACGAATTATAGCCGAATTTAAGAAGACAGCAGTGGGGAACAATGGAGCAGATTGTGAATGGTATTTTCAAGGTTTTAAGTGCATGTGGATGCGGGTACGGT